TGATTAGGGTTGTCAAAACGACTTTTTGTTCGTGAGCGTGAACAGCTCATGTTCGGCTCGTTAAGCAAACGAGCCGAACACGAACACACCTTTTGAGCTCGAAATATAAACGAGCCGAACACGAGCTCGTTTACACCCCCAGGTACATAGCACTTGGGGTGTTTTAATCCTATGCATGGAAAGGTATATTTCACTTTTAAAAAGTGAAAATAGTGCTATTTTTTATCTGATCTTAAAGAATTAAGTGCTGTGTGTGCAAATATGAAAGTTTAGGTGTGAGATATGTAAATACATAAAAATTGGGTGCTATGAATGTCAATGCTCCATACAAAAATAATCAAAATAAAAGGCAAAAAGCAGTACCTCGGGATGAGATCTACAAGTTGGCTGGCCAACATCAACAATTCTCTCGGTGGCATATTTAAAGCTTTTTATTGAACAATATTCTGGAAACAATACGTAAGAAGAAACCTGTTGAACACCAAAAGATAGAAGTAAAACATGAATGCCAACTACCAAATAGAATTACAAAGTAAACTTCCTCAACGCAATGAAATATTCATTGGATGACAGCATAATTTTACTAAAAAAAGATTTACATAAATACCACTCAATTCTAATGTATTCACATATTTAACACCTCAACTTTAATTTTTACATACATACCACTTTGCCTATGCATGTGAAGGTGTATTTCACTTTCTAAAAGTTAAAAGGGTGGTATTTTTTATGTGATATGAAAGATTTGGGTGGTATAAATGCTAAAAAGCAAAATTTAGGTATACATAGGCATTAGGTGGTGGTATGTATGTAAATGCCCCCTTTTACTAAAACAGGATATTTATCAGGTGGTCGGCCAACAGTAAACAGCACCCAGAACTGTTCCCTCATTTATATAGATATATATGATTGGGAAAAAAGCAAGAAAGTGTGAAGGGAGCTTTCTTTAGCCTATAAAAAATAAAATAAAATAAAATAAAAAACCTGAAAAGTGAGTTTGGGATATACTCTCTACTTGTGACGATCCAAAGTCAAAAAGAGAAAGGTTGTGAGTTGATGTTAGGATGCTAAACAATCATAAAACCGATGCAAAAATATCAAAGGAATAAATCCTAATTCAATATCTACTAATCATCTGTTTTGACCTTTTACACTTAGGAAAATAATTCATGTAGAATCATAAACATTAAGGAATTAAAAATAAGGGTTAGAAAGAAACAAGAGCTATTCATGCCATTTAAAAAAAAGCAAGAGCTACATTTAATGATTATATCACAAGCAATTAATAAAGGAGAAAAAAAACAGCATGCACACAAAAAGAGAGAGAGAGAGAGAGAGAGAGAGAGAGAGAGAGAGAGAGAGAGAGAGAGAGAGAGAGAGAGAGAGAGAGAGAGAGAGAGAGAGAGAGAGAGAGAGAGAGAGAGAGAGAGAGAGAGAGAGAGAGAGAGAGAGAGAGAGAGAGAGAGAGAGAGAGAGAGAGAGAGAGGGAGAGACGAGGAGGGGGAAGAAGAAGAAGTGGTATGTGAATTTTAACCAAATTATACAATGAAATCTTAATCAAAGATGAGCAAAGATGAAAAGTTGTTTTGAGGTAATATTAAAAAAGAAATATGTTAAGAAAAGTTTCTTTTAAAAAGATAAAAATTAGCATAATTATGATAAAAAGTATAGATTGAAACCACAATGTAATGTTATGTTAGCTGCGAGAACGATGAATACAGCTAAATTTTTAGGCTCAAATGAGCTACCAAAAATAACTTGGAAAATTATGGGAGATATTAGTTTTATTTACAAATAGGTCAAATGAAATCTAAAAACTAGAGAAGATGAAAATGATTTGAGAAGAATAATTTTGATACTAATATTAAAATAAAAAAAAATGTAGGAATGTATAATTACAAAGGAAATAAACTTATAAATCATATAATGAAGTTATGAGAAAGTAATAAAATTAAGGAATTGCATGATATATGAGAAACTATTTGGATGTATGTAAGGACAATCAATTGTGAACACATTTTCTTGTATCAAGGCAGTCAATGAAAAGTCACACAAAAAATTCTTCTTACGATTTTAGTTAATCTTAAAAAATGCATGTGAGAAACACCAGAAATTATTCAATGGACAACAAATACTTTTGTCAAAGACTCAAAAGTAGCAAATCTACTGGAATTCTTCACTTTGTTTATGACCGATGTGCTGCTTATTTGAGCACAAAGACTCAAACATATGTTGATCTTATTGAAGATTTGTATAGTGGATTAACAATCAATAAAAAAAATATTTATATAGCAACCAAAATATTTTGGGTCATGGTAGGATTGCATTAAAAGAAAATCAAAGTACATGCATATGTTATTTCTACATAGTTTTGATGAAAATCTACTGAAGTGTGAAATATGAGAAGAATGTGATGATTTTTAGAATATAAGACATAAAATTAGTCAATAAAGAGTAGTTTCATAATATAATTTTTTCATAGATCTTCATCAATGGCCTTATCCCAACTATATGGGGTCAGCTTTATGAGTTCTAATCCTTAGCTCATCCAAGTTGCGTTTGCATGAAATGTTTACCATTTTCACACATCTTTTTGTACAAAGTTTATCCACGATCCTTCAATCTACATCTTTTTTTTTTATTATAATCCTTCCATAATAATTTATCATTATACTTTATTGATACATCTTCAACCTGTGAAATATATACCAAGCCCACCTAATCGAAATTTCACTAGTTTATAATTGAAAGATGTCATTTGCACCTTTCTTATATAACATTCATTGAATCCATCATTCCTAATTTGGGTTGCATGAATCTTTTCATTCTCATTCATATCAAGATTACCTTTACCCAAAACTCACATTCTTACAATATAACTATAATTATAATTTTATAAAAGTTAGCTTTTAAGTCTCCGCCATATTATCTTATCACATAGCAATCCTTGAACCACTTAAACTTTACTCTAAAGTAATGTGACTATCTAATGTTTGTCTTTTAGTAGTTTTTTGACCTTCTTATGTATAAGGAGAACGACCTAACATATCACTAATTACCATATGACATTTGATATTCCCAATAGACCGTCATCAAATTTATGTCAATGTTTGACATCTACTCAACATTGATACCTGCCTTCCAATTTGCCAGTTTCCCCTATGATGAGGAGAACAAACAAGCATCAATCGACCATCTCCAGACAGTCAATTTTTCCAGTTGACCATTGCCCAATGCTTGTTAATATTTGACTTCTATCAACCGCTAATGCCCGATTCCTTCATTTTTTTATCGTTGGCCTCCCCTCTGACAATAGAAAAAAAAAAAAGATCAAGCAAACCACTAACCTTCTCAAGACATCCAAAATCCCTAGTCCACCATTGTTCGATGTCTATCAATGTCAGCTATCTACCAAATTCCAACATAAATTAGCCACCAATGGCAAACATTCAATGCTTGCATTCCATGCATTCAATTTTTGTCCTACACGTTGAGTGATTGAGCAAATTGCTAGCCATTGGTTGAAATTGGATATTATCAATTATACGGTGTTAGTCAATGTCCGATTTCCATCAACTATCAACATATGGTCTCATTTTCTTGATTGACTAATCTCGCTCTTTAAAAGGATGGTGACTAAAATGATTGCCCCCATTATATAATATAACTACGTTATCACAAGAATCATACTTTCACCCAAGAAGAGACCTTCAATAGTTCAATATTAAAACATTATGTTTATATTTTTTTTCTTTGTGATATGCAACTCACACTTGTAAAACTAATTCAAATCAACTTATTCCCACGATCTTTTCCCTTTTTGTATTTTCAATGTACAAAATTCATGTCATTTATAAGCTGCTCTTAACTTATATGATGCGCACAAAAATTTTGCTCAATACTATGATGATAACTCCTTTTCTACCATCGTGAATATTCAAGCACCAACAAGGTGGAATCAATACAATAAAATAAAGGACACCATAATTGAGTGGTTTTTAACCCCCTTACAAAAAAGAGAATTACATAAATACCACCCAATCCCTAGGTGTTCACATATCCAACCCCTAAACTTTTCTTTTTTTTTTTTACATTTAAACCGCATAAATCTTTCATGTCACTTAAAAAATACCACCATATTAACTTCTTAAAAGTGAAATACATCTTTTCATGCTTAGGCAAGGTGTTATGCACGCAAAAACTTAGGATGCAGATATGTAAATATACAGCAAGTGAGTGATATGAATGTAAATCTTCCAAAAGAGAAGTATGCGCCAAAAGTGCATAATTCTGGGAAGAACAATAGTACACTAAAGAGCAGAAATTACAGAAAGAAAAGAACAATTTAAATGTCGCCTATATAAAACTTCAAAACGTCATCTCAGTGAACTCAACCACGCTCTTTCCCACCCACGTACTAAGCAAAGGGCATTACAAAACAAAAAACAAAACATGCTGTAAGAAAAAATTTCTCCTTCGATCGAGAGAATTGAAGAACCCCTAAGGATGACAAAAGCAGGCAAGATTTTCAACAGAAGCGACTTATTTACCTTGCTATGGGAGGTGACCCTGAGTAGATTTCTTCTCAAGAGAAACGTCGCCATTAGCCTCTCATGAACCTCTCCCTTCTCCCTCTCCGTCTCCTTCTCCCCCTCTCTGCTGGCGATCGCGGAGTGAAGAGAATGAACTGTAGATTCAGCCGGCATACGAAAACGCTCATACAGTCACGTGTATAAGAGAAATGGCTGAGCAAATATGATATTTTAATAGACATGTGTGATATTTATGTAAAAATTTTATATTATTTTTTATTTTTTGAGAAAAGTAAAAGTCTAGTCCATATTTATTAAAATAAGAAAAATGTATAAATATAACTAACAAGAAACAATAAAAATAAATAAATAAATATGCAAAACAATAACAAAATTCTAACAAAACATTTATGGATTGATTAGACATAAAAGAAAAGGTCATAACATAACAACAACCACAGATCTTTTGTTCAAGAATAACAATATAAAAGGAACAAGCAACAAAATCACAAATAGAAGAAAATAATCTTCAAACATATATGAATTTATGGAATAGCTCTAAGCAGAACAACAACCACGACAACAAAAGAATAACAAACTTAAGAGATCAAGCAGCTATCGTCCTTGTCTGGCCCGAAAACATTGATTTTTGCGTGGTTCGTTTCGTGAAGGGTTTCCTCGATTCATGAGCTACGGGGGACCAAGCATGGCTTAAATATAACCGCTTAACTTCAAAAATATGTATTTTTATCAGTCATTTTTCAGGGAAATCATCGCTAACGTTCACCCCAAACCTCAGTATGGGGTAGCTTGTTCCAAACCCTAATTTTGTCCGGTTGACTGTAGGAAGGTTCTCATCGATCTAGAAGCCACATAAACTTACGTATAGCTGGAATACAACCTCGTAACTTAGAAATGAACATTTTAGGGATTTCAAAGCTCCAATAGAACAACAACTTCAACAACAACCCACCACCCATAGACAACCTCCCATATAGAAGCAGCTATAAGTGTCAAGAAGATCATCCTGAACAGAAGGAAAACCTTCAAATCAAAAGGAAGCAGCAAAAAAGACAAAACCAAAAATAATAGAAACTAATAAACTATAAATATCAACAATAACTAGTAAAAGCAACCACACTAAAGACCACAAACAAGACTGAATAATATATATATATAGCC